CATTCTGTCATTATTTGTGAAATAATGGGATTGGCTTAAAGGGATTGGTCATTCTGTCATAAATTTGCCCAGTGGCCTCTGTCCATCATGGCCTCCTAATCATCCCCATATATATATACCAATTGGCTTCATCACTATGTCTCCTCTCCACCAGTAAGCTGGTGTGTGGTGGGCGTTCTGGCGCAATATGGCTGCCGTCGCATCATCCAAGTGGATGCTGCACATTGGTGGTGGTTGAGGAGATTCCCCCTTCCATGTGAAGCGCTTTGAGTGCCTAGAAAAGCGCTATATAAATGTAATAAATTATTATTAATATTATTATTATTATTTACTCATGCCCCCATGTTGTTTTGAACCTGGATTGCTTTCTTTCTTTTGTGGAAAAATTTTCTTTTTTCTTCCTTTCCTTTTTTTTTGTGCATGCAATGAAAGTGAATGTTATTTGAACCCTAGCATTCTTCAAAATATTTCTTTTGAGTTCTGCAGATTTAGAGTGACATGAGGGTGAATAAATGATGGCACAATTGTCGTTTTTTGGTCAACACCCTATTAATGGAGCTCTGAGTCAACATTGTCTGATATGTTTATACTTAAACACCCCAGCAACTCCCTAGCAACAACCCAAAACACCCTAGCAACTGCTCAGCATCATGCTATCAACCCAAAATAGCATAGGAATTGCCAAGCAATGCTCTAGCAACCACTCAGAACACTTTGGCAACTGCATAGCAACACCCTGGCAACCATCTAGAACACATAAGCAAGCAAGGTTTTATTTATATAGTAGTTTTTTAGCTGGTGTTTAACAATGTGCTTTACAGAAAAGAAAAGCATGCACTGTATAGGCATTCACAGAAAAGAAACAAGCAGACAAAGAAAAAAAATGCATTGATAATAAAAATTCAAATCCTCAAGGAATGACTCTAGTAATACTTTTTAAAAGTGCATAGTCTAGTTCCCTTAATGTTGGCTGTGTTGTACTGTGAATGTGTTGTCTCATCACCACACGGTGGGGACAGCAGCGGACACACACTGTGTTTCGCAACATTTCAGGAGCTCTGGCGTCCGAGGGGGATTTTCGGATGGTTTTATTCCTGGTCTTGATGGTCTGCATGTCTCTCACACACCCACGCTGAATCTATACACATGTTCCCGAACACACACAGGAAGCAGGAGGCCCTGCAGCTGAATGCAAAGAACAACATCTAAAATTGTTTCTTTTCTCAGTGCCTTTGTTTTTCTTTTCCCCACTTTTCTTTCAAGGCTGTGTATGTTTCCCAGGAGTCCGTGCAGAAGAACAGACAGCAGTTTTGGTGACCCCCCCCCCCCCCCCCCCCCCCCATCAGTGCGGCGCTGCCAGATGTTTAAGGAAAACAATCTCCCGTACAAAGATAATCCCAGCAGAGACGAGCAGCTTGGGGGTAGTTTATATGGGTGCAGGAACGACGGTCCTTGCGGATGCCGTGTGACGTCTGGTGGGAATTCTGGGATGTATCTGTTGTGACAAAATGACACATTTGAGAGTGTTAGCAGGAGATCGGGATGCTGGGAAGGGTCAGACGAGCACGCCGTTCCCATCCCATCACCCACACACACACTCTCTAAAGACACTCAGACACTACATCTGTTTATATTAAGTAAACCAATATATCATATGATAGAATGATAGAGCTATTAGACTCAACCATCACTATAACTAGTGTTCACCATGACTAGACAGTAAGAAACTACCTAGTAGCAACCACCCAGAATGCCTTAGAAACAGCACAGCAACACTATTAAAAAAAGCTTACAGCGCATTAGAAGCTGCATAGCAATGCCTTGGTAACCACCCATAATATCTTTAAAACTGTGTAACAACACTCTAAAATGCTTAGAAAGCCTTTGCAACTGTATAGCAATTCACTGGCAACCACCCAGAACACCTTTGAAACCTTATAGCATCACTCTAAAATGCTTTGGACACTCAGCAATTGCATAGCAATGCCCTGGCAACCTCCCATAATGTTATTAAAACTGCGCAGCAACTCTTTAAATCTGAACTGCTAGAACCTTGACAACTGACAGCAACACCCTAGTAACCATCCAGAACACTTTAGCACATGCATAGTAACGCCCTGGCAACCTCCCAGAACATCTTAAAAAGCATGTAGCAACACTATAAAATTCTTAGAATGCCTTAGTAACCACCCAGGACACCTTAAAAAACACATAGCAACAGTATAAAGTGCTTAGTATGCCGTAGCAACTGCATAGCAACACCCTGGCAACCACCTAAAACAGTTATACTGTGATCTCACCTGCATTCATGAAGGATTTCTGGCTTTTCAAGTTGTATAGCTGGTGTTACTGTCTTGCATGCTAATTTAATATATGAAGTCAACAGTACCAGACGAGGGTGGATGACAGTGTCAGCAGTAGATTTCCATTGTATTCTGTAGTATAATTGTTTTAGCATGAGCTCTTTTCAGTGATCTGACGGCTTCTGCATGAGTCTGTGGTCTCTCTGACGCAGGTTGGCCACAGTGAAGCTTTTCTAGAGCCCAGAGAGACGTTAGCATGAAAAAGAGCCCGTTCTGACATGGACCTGAGCCTCATTCTGGCCTCTTTCTCTTTCCTTCATGGCTACCGTTCTTTAGTCTTTCATATTCTTCTTCTTCTGTTTTTAAGCCAGAATTTCTCTCTCTCTTCCACTGAAAGGGTTTGATTCAGAGCTCTTTTCATTGCTGAGCTGCTTGGCAGCGAAATATTCCACCGTATTCATCTCTCCTTTTTTTCAGATGTTATGTTTTTTTCTGTTGCTCTTGGTCTCACTGCAGCTTTCAGAGGATTCAGCACATTATAAAGCTAGAAAGTAACTGCAGCTCACAAACCTGATGCTTTTCATTTTAAAATGGCCTATTTGTTTTTGCATTGATTCCTTCAAAATAGTTGTATGCATTTTCAGAAGGATTTAAATGGTTCATTGACTCACAATCATGAGCATGTGTATAAGCATGACTCCTGGGGTCTCTGTGTGCGTCCCCTGTGTATCGGAGATCATGAGAAAGTTTCCAAGTCTTTTCTGGGAATACACACTGGACAAACTCCTCCTAAAGCAACTATAACAGCACTTAAGGCTCCTTGTTCTCTTCTGTATGTCGCTCCTGAGGGACCGGCAGCATTTTATGAAGTGCGTTTTTCCTCTGGCAGTATATTAGTGACGAGAGAGACTCTTAATGGGCATCTCGCAGGATTTGTGTGGGATGGTTGATTTTGATTGCTCCGGTGAGATGGTGATGATAGTTTTAAAAGACACAAAAGCTATTGCCTGGTTGGAAAATGTTTTCAATATAAAGTGTATGTGTTTGCTGTTAGTTCTAATACAGTTTGAGTAAAAACTACCAGAAATATATTTAAGTTTATGAGGGCAAAAAGGTTATTTCTTCCTAAAATCTGCTTTAGTTCATGAAGCAACACTTGAGAACATCGAGTTTAATTGTGTGGCTAAAAATATCTATGATTAGATCACCCTACCAAACATATTTTATCAGTTAAGAACATTTCTCCAGAGTTAAGCATTTCACTCTTTTTCCAGCGACTCCCTCGAAGGATCCCTCCTCCGCTTTTTTTGCCCTCCGCCTCTTCTCCGCGATATGTTCTTCCGCCCTCTCTGGTTTTTCCCACCCTGCTTTTGCACCCAGTGATCCAGCTTTAACTGTTTCCAGACCTCCAAAACACTCACCCCCACCCCACCCATCCATCCATTTCCACCCACTACAACCCCGTCCGATCAACCCTTGTGTTTACTCACACACACACACACTCATCCTGGTGGATTTGGCTCGTTGTGACCTCTGACCCCTAGAACACCTTAAAAGGGATCAGATCTCTCATAATTAGACAGATCCTGCAAACTTTAATTGTTTATTTGTGCTTTCAGGAGCACTGAAAGATACTCGCAGGCATTCTGGAAATAAACACATTTATTATCATTACGTTTTTCAGTCATCTTTGTTAGTGGTGTAAGTCAATCTTCACTAGTACTATTGCAGAGGTATGATGTCATCAAACCTCTAAGTCTTAACGTGTGTACGTCATCCTTAAGCGTTTGTGCTTGAATGATTTTTATTTATTTTACTTTTGTTATTTTTATGCATTCTTTTATTTTATTTGTCATTGTATGTATTTTGATGTTTTATATTATTTTATTTATACATTGAGACTTTTTTTTCATTCATTCACTCACACATTCATTTATTTATTTATTCTCACATTGATTCTTTTGTTCATTCACTCTCACTCATGCATTCATTAATTTATTGATTTGCACATTACTTTTTGTTCATTCATTCATTCACTCACTCACACATTCATTCATTTATTGATTCTCACATTGATTTGTTCGTTCCTTTAATAATGCATGCATTCAATTATTGATTCTTAAATTGATTTATTTTAGTTTGTTTATTCATTCATTCATTCATTTTATTTGTTGTTGTTACTTTTTGTTTATTTCTTTGTTTTATATCTATATAACTGATACATTAATATATTTTATTAATCTAATTTCTATTAAGCTGTAGTTTTGTAAGGAAGCTCATCGTTACCGCAGTGATGCCAGTGAATGTGCCGCAGTGAAAAATGCAACAATAAGAGCGTTTGTGAAACATGCTTCTGTTTGTGTGCAGTCAGGCATGCGTGTCCCTCTCTGAAGCCTGTGTGAGAAGCGACCCGTGTGTTATTATTCCACAGCGATGGACACACAAGCAGCACATCCAGTCCGTTGAATGCAGATATGCAAGAAAATTAAAGAACACGTCATGTAAATATAGTCAGGAACTCTTTGTATATTCTTTCATGCGCTTGAGTTTTTAAAAGGACTTCGCTAGAGGAATATGACATACTGAGGGCATATTCTCTTTTGTAAAAATAAATGTTGAGGTAAGTTGAGGAAGATTGCCGTTTCCTTTGGCTTTGAGGCGAATCAATCCTGAGTTGTTTTTCCTCCGTCTGCAGAGTCTAAACGTGTCCTGCTCTGGAAGACAGCATGAAGAGCTTCACCATCAGCCGCTTCCAGCTGACTGCCATGACAACAGGTAACAGACTAAACAAACCCCAAAATAATGACTTAACCAAATAAACCCGACCTGAAGCTCAGTGTGTTCATGCCTGACTCGCAACGTCTTCTGTGTTTAATGTACCGAACTCAAAAAAACATTCTTTTAGTGCTTATTTGACACTTTTGGTTATTAAAAACAAATTCCTGGAACACTAACCGTTTTGGAAAACTAATAGATTCTCACATGAAGATATTTTGTAACTTAAAAAGCTGTTTCAATGTAAGACTGCTGGTAGTTATCATCATGCTTCCCCTGTTGATTAATCACAGCATATTAAGACAAATGTGTTGTATTAAAAGAAAGGGCTGTCAAGCGATTAAAAATGTTAATCTAATTAATTACACAAAGCGGCGATTCATTAATCGCACCAATTCACAAATTACCCCCAAGTGGAGATTTCTGAATCAGTGCAGGAGAAAAAACTCACAAACTTTTAAGATATGTACCATAAATGAAATCTACAGATGCAAATAGATCAAGTTTAATAAAATAAAAAAACTCCACTAATCTGTAGTTTCTTGAAAAAAATAGCTACAAAACTTGTTAATCCCGTAATTCTCATAGAGGAACCTTTTCTCAAAATGATTCCTGCACATCGTGAGTTAATCTAGAGCAGTAGTGAGTGAAGTTTTACTGATCTGAATAGGCTTTATGCCGAATGTCACATGAACAAACAGGAAAACAGGTCTCATCGCATCCGCTTATCGGAGAAAGTGTTTAAGGCAGTTCGAACTGACGGCGATATCTATGGACTTTTTTAAGGCAACCTAGCTAGTTCTTTTTATTGTTCGAGTTTTATTTGATTTAATTATCAAAATGTTAGTGAGAAGAAGAAAAATAAAAACTTTTAGATATCGATCTGCAAATGCGATGGACATTGGTTATACTCATCTTTGCTCATCTTGGGTAAAAACAAAGCACATACAAATGACCTGAAATGGAAGCGATGCAACCTGTTTAACAGAATGCTGGTGTGTTGTTGTGTGTGTGTGTGTGTGTGTGTGCAGGTTTGGTTCTGCTCTGTCTGGGAGGTTCAGGTCTGGAACTCAATCCCAGCGTTCCAGAGGTAATTCTCTCCATCAACTCGTCCTTCACCATCACCTGCTCCGGCTGGAGGAACGTCTCCTGGCACTACAAGCGGGAGGAGAATGTTCCGGCGTTTCACACCGAGGCGCGAAGTCCCACCTCCAGTGTTCTGAGTCTGGAGCATGTGACGTGGACACACACCGGGGTTTATGTGTGCTCTGAAAACGGGACAAATGAGACCAGAGAGGTGGCTGTGTTTGTGCCTGGTAAGAACATCAGTGTGTGTTACTCACGAAGATATTCAAAATTGGTTCATTAATACTCAGACTACAAGTAAGGCCAGTTATATTTGAACATTTTAAGATTAGAATGGTTAACATTGAAAACATTGACGTTTTTAGGTAGTTTTGAATGTGTTATTAATTTTCACTCACATATTCATTCAATTGAGTCGTTCATTCACTCATGCATTCATTTACTCGCACATTCATTTACTGATTCTCACATTGACTCTTTGGTTCATTCACTTAACATTCTTAATTTATCGACTCTCACATTGTTATATTTGTTAGTTTTTTCACTTACACATTTATTGATTTGTACATTTATTCATTTGTTCACTCATTTACAAATTCTTTAATTTATTGATTCGCTCATTGATTTTTGTTTGTTCATTCACTCAAGCATCCATTCATATATTGTTTCTTACATTGACTGTTTTTTTAATTCATTCACCCACACATTCATTCAACTTATTGATTCTTCCATTGATTAGTTCATTAATCACGCACACAATCAAGTCAAGTTAAGTCACCTTGATTTTTATTTAGCGCTTTATACAGTACAGATTGTTTCAAAACCGCTTGTAAAGTAGTGATAAACAGGAAAATAATGATCAATGATGCAAACATAATTCAATTCTCCTGTAAAGCAGCTCTAAAAAGACTATTGTCATTGTTCAGCTTAAGTCAGTTCAATGTTGATTCAGTTCAGTTCAACAACTGTAAAGTTCATCCATTATTAAATGAGTTCGATTCAGCTCTGCAGAAAACAGTCATCATTCACTTTATTGATTCTCACATTGATTTGTTCGTTTGTTCATTCATGCATTTGTTGATTCTCACACTCACGCATTCATTAATTTGATTTGTTCGTTCATTCACTCATGCGTTTATTTGTTTACACATTGGTAAACACATTGATTTATTAATTCTGTCTTCCTCAGATCCGGAGGTGTGGTTCCTCAACAACGATCACAACATGGTGACTAAGACGCGAGAGGAAAGCACGATCCCCTGTCTGGTGACGGACCCGTCGATAAACGTCACGCTGTACGAGAGAGACACAGAGATAGTGGTGGAGGGCTCGTACAACCCCAGTGTGGGCTACACCGCTGCCCTGGACGACAGAAACTACATATGCAGAGGAGAGCTGAACGGCCTGGAGAAAGAGTCCATCCCGTTCTACGTCTTCAGTATATTTGGTATATTTGCTCAAATGCTCTGTTATGCTTTGAAAAGGTTTGCTCAGGAGATTTACTGGAGTTCGTAGTCACGCTTCATTTAAAGCTGCAGTCCGTAACTTTTTTTGGGTTAAAAATTATCCAAAATACATATTTGAGAAAATACATAACCAGCCAGTGTTCAAAACTCTCTGCTTGCCTTAGCTCGATTCAAAGCGGTAAGCTTGTAATAATGTTTTTAACTCCAGTGGTACTGGTGGATTCTCGGATTCTCGAGTCTCGGCTAGTATAAGCTATATTGCGTGTGAGGATGTTGGAGGTGGAGATTTATAGACTTTTCTCACAGCACTTGATATAATTAAACTTATCAAGATGGCGGATCCAGAAAGGTTCAAACGACAATCACCAGTGACAACAGATTCACCCGTTGTAAAATGCAAAAGACTTCGTTCGGACTTCAGAGTGGCTACAGAAGAAAAGAGACTGCAACCGGACCCATGCGCAAACAAGGATACAAATCGGAAGGACATTACATGTAGTCACGCAATGCTTACGTTGTTAAAGGGGTCATATAATGGTACATGCACTTTTACAAGTTGATTGTACTGAAATGTGTGTTGGCAGTGTCTGTACACAACCATCATATAATGGTAAAAATCCATCCAGTGTTTTTGTTTTAATCTCCTTATATGTTTTCCCCTGTCTCAAATCGAGCCGTTCGAGCCTGTGACGTCACAAGCTCGCACGCCCCTCCCACGATTGTTGACTGACAGCAGCGTTTCAACACAGACCCGCCCTCGCTCATGAGGTAGCTGTCAATCATAGTCTGCGCGGACCGGCGCGGTCATTGTTGATATGCTGGAGCACTGTCTATGAGCAGAATGGCGTCTAAGCGATTGTGGTGTTCTGTTCTTGGGTGTAATAACGAATACAGAAGTCATTTTAATGTTCCTAAATCCGAACCGCTGAAGACGCAGTGGCTGAGTTTGTTTTCGAAGGGAATATTCCCCACGAGCAACGTCAATGCTCTCATGTTTGCGCGAATCATTTCACACACCAGACTGCTTTATAAACGAGGAAAGCTGCTCATGAAAACAGGATCGGTACCAGATATCCGTGTTCCTGTTGAATCTCCTGAAGAACGGAAGTGAGTGTAATGTTTTATTAAACTTTATATTAATATATTAATCTTTGCAAATCGCTAGCTGCACGCTTCACAATGAATGCGTCTAAGGTTTACACTTAGGGTACATTACGGCATGTTTTCTATGTATGACGTTCTCAATATAATTCATAATCCCACGTTTGAACATACTGAACAACGCGTTATGGTTATTGTGTTATTGAGTTACAAATGGTGTAGGCAGAACAGAGAGGCGGGGTGAGCAAATCTCATTATCATTTAAAGTCATATGCACTGAAACGGCGTGCTGAAAACAGAGCTGTTTTTGACCAAGTAAAATAAGTGTTTTCTTACAATACTAATGAGAATTTGTAATTAAAGTATATTACAAACTTTTAATTTAGACCCTAAAGAATCATGTTAGCTTGTACAAAAATGGCATTATATGACCCCTTTAACATTAACAATTTAGGAACAAAGTATAATTTGCATGGTTTTGTGTGATGATAAGCGATTTTTAGATTTAATCAGGGCGATTTACTGCAATGTCAGAACCAGAACAAAGGTGGATGTTCCTTACTAGTTCAGATGACATTTTCCGGTGAAAATTATTATGTTGGTCATACTTCCAAAAAGAATAATCTGTGATTCTGAATGCCAGTATCGACACCGGCGCGGCGACTGACAGCTGCACACTCTCCTCAAACACTGTGTTCATCCGCGCTGTGCCGTGTCGAGGGTGTTGAACTACAACTCACGTAAAGTTGATAATTCCGCGAATGACTGCAATTGCAGATTTCGAACAGAGATGGCGACAAAGAGGAAAAACTACGGACTGCAGCTTTAAGTGTCAACTTTGTCTCAGATGTTTCCTCAGGAATTAAAGGAGACTCAAATGAGTCACTAGTTATCATCCAGTAAGAGTATAGAGCTATAAAATATGAAATACAGAATGAGAAATGATTGAGTGCACATTGAGATCTCTGACTTGTAGACTGCAAATCCGAGTAAAGTTTGATATATTGAGACACTTCAGCAAAGGTTTGCTCACCATTTAATTTAATTGCTGTATACACGCCAAAAAAATATTTTTTCTCACACAGTATTTTTGTCTTGTTTTTTTAGTAAAAATGAAACCTTCTTAAAGGGTCTGTCCTTTGGATGAGACGTTAAACTGAGGTCCTGACTGTCTGTGGTCATCAAAAATCCTGTGGCACTTCTCAGAAAGACTAGGGGTGTACTGTAACCCTGGTGTCCTGGCCAAATGCCCTCCATTGGCCCTTATCAATCATGGCCTCCTAATAATCCCTATCCTTTGAATTGGCTCTATCACTCTCTCTCCTCTCTCTTAGTTTTACAATCTCTTTATGAACCTTTTGAAGCGTCAAAGTGTCAGTTGTGTTGCTGTCTATATGGAGGGACAGAAACTCTCAGATTTCATCAAAACGATCTTCATTTGTGTTCCAAAGATGAACGAAAGTCTTACAGGTTTGGAACGACTTGAGAGTGAGTAATTAAAGACCGAATTTTTTGGTTGGACTAAACCATTAAGTCTTGTTTTGAAATTAAGTGAGATTTTGCTTAAAACAAGAACAAATATCTGTCAATGGGGTCAGAAAAATAAAATAGTTTTCCCTTTGAATTAAGTTTCTTTTTCTGACCCCATTGGCAGATTTATTGATTTTTTTTAGGCATAAACTTTCTTAATTTTGTATAAATTTTTCAGTAAACAATTAAGACTTAATATCTGAAGACATTTTGCTTCTCAAGTAAATGTATCTTGATTTATGAACGTTTAAAAAAAATTTACTTGAAAACAAGACAAAAATACAGAGGAAGAACATATTTTTTCAGTGAAATGGAAACGATTGAGATATTCGTGATTTTTCTTTCCTATACATATGTATAAATTAACTTGAGGTCTGCTAATGCCATAATATTACAGACATTTATGACCGGATTAGCATTCATGTATCAACATTACAGGCTATTATTTGCTAAATGAAGCTGTTGTGAGTTAAAACGCTCACCATTTACTTTTCAGAAGATGGTTAAAAGATGAAGAGAGCCCATGTGTTACACATCTGTTCTCCTCCATTATCTGTGTCATCATCGATTGGACCAAGTCTCTTTATAAACTCAGATGATTTGTTTTCTGTCAAACAATAGCCGCTTTTGTTCTTTCTTTCGCACACATGTCTTCAGCTCCCGAGGCTCTGGATCCCTACATCAACGCCTCCAAAACGGTCCTGAAACAGGGTGAGACGCTGAACGTTAACTGTACCGTTCACGGCGTGCAACTCGTCTTCTTCAAATGGGACTTTCCCAACCAAGACGTGAGTGGGCTGAAAATGAAATTCTTTGTTTTCTTTATTTTTCCGTTCGAGCACTTCGAGCTCCCGTGAGAAGGTCCACATGTTGAAATCACCTCAAGATGTGCGGCCACACCTCTCCCCTGACCGTTGTCGTGAGGAACACGTGTTTTTATTAAGAGAGAAATCAAAAATGTATCGGGGAAAAAAGTGAAAAGCCAAAACACCAAAAGCAAGTTTGTAGCTATAGTTTATGGTTTTAGTTTATCACAGAGTTTTTGAGGATTTGAATATCTAAACATTCTTAAATCAAATCAAGATAAATTTACTTGAGATCCAAAATGACAAGTTGTTTTTTATAATGTATCAAAATTAAGTGACTTTATGCTTAAAAATCTGAAAAATAATCAAGTTTTTAGGCAATTTTTTTTAAAGTATTAACTCAATTAATTTTTATCTTCTCAAAAAACAAGACTTAATATGTCATTTTCCTTCTCAAGTAAATGTATCTCGGTTTAAGAAAGTTTAGAAATTTATACCGAGTTGGAAATTAATTTTTTGCAGTGAGTGCAATTTAATCGCTTTGTCACATGCCCCAGCACAGCAAGGACACCAGATTCCCTGTTTTGTTTTTGGATACCCTTATCCTCATGGACAACTTATTCCCCTTTTTTGACATTTTTTGGTAATTTTATGTTTATTTTTATGTTAATAAACACCTCTCTGAGGCCTGACGCCACATCCACAGTGTCTATCTTTTGCTCCTCCCGCCACAATCTATACAGTATAGAATATATGCAGTATGTATATCTCTGCAAAAATTGTCTCAATAGAAAAGTAAATGTCTGACACCCCAATTTTTGAGTCTCAGGAGGACGACATTGAGCCCTTGACTGACGTCCTGTCGTCCATGAGCATGCGGTCCTGCCTCAACATCACGAAGGTCTCGCTGGCCAGATCAGGACAGTATGTTTGTCATGTGCATGAGGGTGTGGGGGAACACACAGCTTCAGCCAGTATTGACATCACCGTTCTGGGTAAGACTTGCAGATATCACACAGCAGATTCATCAGGTTTACATTATTCTGTCTATAAATGCATAAAGTTTGGCTACTCGTATCAGTGAATGTCAGCAACAGGGTTATTACTCTAACAATTTCTGAGTAAAAATTGTTTTCAAATTAAAAACATGCAAAACTTTTGCTTCTTTAAAAAACGAAAGTTTCGGAAATCAAAATTTACTTTAACTGAAATCAAAATTTAAAACTATATTTATTATATTAGGTCATTTTTGTTATAATTTTAAATTGTATTATTAATGTTTTTTTAATGTTTTATATAATATTTTCATTTAGATTTAGCTTGATGTACTAAAATAACTAAAAATGAAAAAAAATAGACGTATTTTATTAAAAAAACATAAAACTATATTTACTTTTTAAATTATTTTGTATAATATTTAATTTGATTATTAA